AAAAAAAATAGGCAAAAATCACTTTTTTCCTTCAGTTTGGAAAATGGCTTTACACATCATGAAGGCTGTGGTTAAGCAGTTCGGTAGAGAAGTGAGAGGTTTGGGATTTTGCTAGAAATGGCTTTAGTGGTAGGGGATTCATTGCTCACACTCCAGTGTGGCACAGGAGGGGTTGCCCCTGCCCGGTTCAGTCACTCCCACAGTGCTGCAGCAAGTGTTGCTTCGACTGGAAATAGATGGAGGAGTCCAGGGAGGGAGGATTGTTGCCACCATTTGCAAAGTTGGCCGCAGTATTTTTTTTTCCTGTCATAAACTGTTGAGAATTTGAAAGGGCTGCTGGGTATTTCCTTCCCAGACATGGTAATGTTCAGTTGGCAAATGAAACAACCTTTTGTTCGGAAGGCTCTTTTGAGATGAAAGGCGTCAGCAAAGTTGTCGCTGTGTCTCCTGTGACTGCCTTGGTTGAGGAGCTGGACTGTGTGTTCCAAGTCTTTCTGATGCACAGGCTCGAGTGCTTAGTCTGAGCCAATTTACTCATTCGTTAGCTCTTACTTTTTTGACTTTAATTGGCTTCCTACTGCATGTCAGATTGCATTTTCCTTCAGCTGGCGGATGTGGAGGCGACCTCCTTCTCCGGGCTGCCACGAGAACATGTTTTCTTATTAGAGAGAGCTGTCTAGTGCAGGCTGGGGGAAGCACCTTGGGAAAGAGAGTGCTGAAGCACAAGTGTGTTCTTTGCAGCAATAATACTTCCTCAGCCTTGTGGAAGGCTCCACAGGTTACTTTTCATCTTGTCCTTTCGTAAGTGATACACAGATGCAAAATGTATATAAAAATGAAGCTCCTAGAAGACGTTCCAAATGTCCCCAGTGCAAGGGGAAATCCTTAACCAGCCCTTTCCTTGAGGAGTTTTCTAGCTTGTTGAGAGTTTAAATGTCTACCTGTTCTGTAGGTCCTGCACAATTTTGCGGCCTTGTTTTCTTGGTTATCCTAAAAATGACAGGTTACTATTTATACTCAGATTAACTTCACAACCCGTCTATTCAATCATCTGCTTTCCTTGTTCTCCTTTTTGGAAGGATTTCATTTAATGCCAGCATTAAAGTGCAATGATGGTGCATCTGGGTGGTGGGTCAAATTTATAAACCATTGCTAGGGAAAAAATCCCATCTCAAAGCTGCCTTGGCTATGTCTGAGCTGTCTTGCCCCATCTTACTAACATGACAGACCCCAGTGTATTATTCTACCTTGAGCCAACTTTGTCCAGGTTTCTGGTGAAGTATTTCATGCATTCCCGTAGGAGAATCCTCTGATCAAGTGCTTGACAAATACCCACAAGGGCTCTGTGGTTGCCTTACATTTGTGTGTTTCTGGCCCAGCCCTGCAGAAGGGCCAGTGTTGCCTGGTGATGCTGTCACCTGTTTCATGAACCCAAGGAATACGTCCCATGCCTTGTGTTTGTGTGCTGTCCTCCTTGCAGGGGCTCCATTACCTTTTGTTTTGGAAAACAGTTCCTTGCAATTTCATCTGGTGGTCTGGTAACTCCATAAAAATAAAATTTTGTATTTAACAGTTAACCTTGGGCTTTAGAAAATTTGATGTCCAACACTAACTCAGATCCAATTACTGAGTTCTCACTAAATTCACATCTTCGGTGGGATCAGTGATGCTGAGAAATACAGATTTGTCAAAGTTCTGTTGCTTTCTGTCACTAGTGTATACATTGTTTTGTCTTCCTCCATCTGTTTCTATAGTTAAATGAGATTCAGATGAATTCATCAAGAACCTGTCACCTTATATTAGCAGTGAAATATATTTGGTGTCATGAAAAATAAATGTTTCCAACAAATTTACGTAGTTTTGAGCTCTTGTATCATGATTGCTCTAGGAAGGTGAGGGGGTGTATGTAATTAACACAGGACTCTAAGAATAAAATATTTGCAAAAGCTCCTCACTTATCTGCCAGAGTAATATGGAGTTCACCTTTTGCCAAGATCGGTGTCTGTAGCACTGTGTCTGTAGCTACTTCTGCCACAGTTACATGAAATGTTAATCCCTAATGCACGGCAAAGAACACCTTGTTTAGTCTCTAGGGATGGCAGGACCTTAAATTCACAGCCTGCTGGGTCCCTTAGAAATGCAGCTTACCCTTGGGGTGCCTGCCCTGTGCACACTCATCCTCACTGTGGGAAGGGCAGAGCAGCTGCTCTGCAGGAAGTTCTCAATCTCTTATTTAGTGATGTTGCCTCTGCTCCTGCCTTACCAGAATCCTGATTTATTTTAGCAATAACAAGTGTTATTGTTTGAAATGTATAAAACTCTGCTACACCTCATCCCTCTTCTCTCCTGCAGTCTGTTTCACTGCCTTCCTTCCAGCCCTGGGTTAAGCAGGAATTGCTTGTGGGAGGGGGATAGTCACGACTTTACAGATCTGGTGAGGACTCCCTGTGCTCCTATCTTTCACTTTGGTTTGCCTTTTTGCAGGAAGGTGCTAATCACCCCCTACCTTCATTTAGTGTCAAAGGGTCTTTAGTGACCTTGGAAGAAGAGGAACTGAGCTGTCTGTGCTAATCTCAAACACAAATGTGCAGCCCTTGCCACATTAGTCATGCCTTTGTCACCTCTAGATTGGATTAGTGCAGTGCACGGTGTGTGGGTCTGCAGCTGAAGACACATGCAGAACAGTGTTGTCTGCTTGTTTTAGTGTCACCAGAGAGTATTTTCTAGAGATGTCAGTGCTTGAGGAGTGCCCTCAGTCAGGATCCTGAGCTGACTTCTCACACTGGTTTGCTGGAAGCTGGTTTGACTGTCAGGCTTTAAAGCTTACCTGCAGCTGCTACTGCTTTCTGTAAGAGGATAAGTTGAAGGATTGAATGCAACGTAAGGCTTTGTGAGGAAGTATATCAGAGCCCTGCAGCTTGCTTTATTTTTTGTTGATTGTTTTTCTCTGTGGATGATTTTAGGATTTTAGCGTGGTGCTTGGGTTAGGAGAGGTGTCCTTGAAGACATCTGTCTGTGGAGCAGTGCATTGTCAGTGGAGGTTTTCCTCTCCAATGCACATGTGAATGGTGCAGCAAAGCCCAGCTTCCTTATTAGGACTAGTCAATCACTTAATCAGGTATATAATAGCAGTCTTCTGGGAGGGATAGAAGGGGTAGGAGATTAACCCCAGTCTGCATTACAAATAAGTTTAATGAAGTACTAATGTTGAATACAGAAGGTCATGGCAGTGAGGAAGTTGGACTATTATGACTGAGCCTGTCCACATGAACAGCCTGCAAAGCAAAGAGCATGGTAAGAGTTCTGAACTGGGCAGTTTTAGTCCTTGGTTCAACTGTTTGCCAAACTATAACTGCAAATAAAATTATACTTTTTCTCTTGCAGTTATGCTCAGTGTGTGCAGCTGCTTGTGTAGTTTTAAAATGCCCACAGAAATCTTATTCTTTAACACATCCTTCTCCACACTGCTCTGGAGTGGACAAGCTGTGCTTTATAGCAGGTTCCCCAGTGGGGATTTCTGTTCACAAGGCTCTTCTGCCCACACTTGGACACCCATTGGCATGATGAGCCTAAGCCAGCAAGTGGAGTCCTAATCTACAGTAGGAAGATGTGCAGAGTGATAGGAGGGAAAGGCTCAGCAAATATATTGGTCTTCATATCACTAGCTGGTGGCTTTCCCAATGGACTTGGTGAATTGTAGCAGATGTGGAATGCTGTACTTTGCATGTTGGAGGGTTGTTTATTTGTCTTTTCCTCTGTGGTATCTCAGATCAATTTTTTGGTCCAATTGTTAGATGTCTTCTTCATTGTATCAAGAGCTGTCTTTCAGTGCTCTGGCTTCTGTTCTACCTGGCTGTTAAAATATTTTGCTATGGATATGGAGGTGGTGGGATGCCGCAAGCTGTTTGTGTTTGCAGGCTGAGTTTAGTAGTACTCATCTTTTGAGAGATTTCTCTGGTTGGAACTATGAATCAAAGCAGTTTGCTCTTTGGAGAAGTAAGGACCTGCCAAAATCCATGTGCAGCTGCTGGGGTTATTCTCTGGACTACAGAGCCAAATCAACCAGAAGAGTCTCTTGCTGTGTCTCTGCCAGGTCCTCTGGCTTGTTTAAGTGGTTCACACTTCTGCCTGGAGCACAACATTTTGCTTTGCCAGCTCCTGCAGAAAACTGCTGTTGTCCTTTCCTTCTGGTGAGACGGTCCCAGAAAACACAGTCTGAGCACTGTGCTTTGGAGGGATCCTGCTCTGCTCACGCTCCCAGGTTCTGGGCCTTCACCAGAGAGCAAACTTGTGGTTGCAGATATCCGCTAAAGCAAACTGTGTCTGTTTTAATCAGTTCTTCCTTTTGAATCAATTTGGAGGGCAAGGAATCTCACCTGTGTTTGAGAAGCCATGACTCTTTAGGGCAGCTGTGACTACACTCGTTTTGGGAGAATGTCAGCTTAAAATTCTCCTGGCCCTCAATCTAAGGGAGAATTAATTTCCTACTTCAGACTCTCTAGTGGTATCAGCAGAAGTCTTATAAAAATTCCTGATTAGATTATGCCCTCATTGTAGTAATGAAAACCACTTATTAATGTTGTTTAAATATCTTATGTAACACTTGCCTTGTGGTAGAGAAACTATTATCCATTGGATCTATGGCTAATTCTCTTCTTTTTTTTTCTCTTTACAGTCTTCTCTCAGTTAGTATTTTGTTACCTCACGTGGTATTAGATAAGCAGCGAAAAAAAGATGGCCCACACTAAAAATGGTGTGTTTAGAGGCTCCTGCTTCAGTGAGATGAAATGTGAATGGGAAATATTGCTCTTGCAGAGTGGAATGCAAGAGCTGCAGAGTGGGATGCCCAACCTTGGCATGTTTAATTGTTGGTGTGCTCCTGGTTGAAGCCTGTACTTAACTGCAGAGTGGGATGCCCAACCTTGGCATGTTTAATTGTTGGTGTTTTCCTGGTTGAAGCCTGTCCTTAACTGTGTCCTATTCTCCGTTCTCCCGCCCAGCTTTGTGCAGAGGGCGCATTGTGAGAGTGCCCCCGGGTCCCCTCATTCGAGTGGTGGGCACGGAGGTGGCCATCCCGTGCAGCGTGAGTGACTATGACGGACCCAGTGAGCAGAACTTTGACTGGGAGTTCTCCCGGGACACTGACTTCGTGCGGATAGTGAGTACCTGGGATTCTACCTTCACCTCTGAGGAGTACCAAAAACGCGTGGGCCGCGGGGATATCAAACTGAGACGGAGCAGCAACGATGCTGTGGAACTTGTGATTAGGAACATCCAGCCAGCTGACCAAGGGAGATACAAATGTTCCACGCCCAGCACTGATGCCACCGTTCAGGGAAATTATGATGCAGAGGTCCAAGTGAAAGGTATTTCTGAAGAGTGAGGTGTGCTTTAAATTTGTTTTTGATAATGATTATAGATGTACCCTTAAGAATGTTGATTTTACTGTTGTTTATGATCATTGTGATTTTTTTGTTTCTTTTCTTCTTATTATTCCTCTTTAATTCTCCTAAAGCCAGCATTTAAAATTGGGAAATATGATAGCAAAGGCAAGTGAGGTGAAGAAGTGAAGAGAGGCTGTTTACTATAAACACCACTTTTTTTTTTTCTGTCTAGTAAATATGTAAATAAAACACTAAGTGGTGGGTTTTCTGAAGATGTTTGCAAATATTTCATGTCCCTAATCCTCTTGGTAGAGAAGCTATGTTCAGGTAAAAACCACAGGCTGCCTTCTCTCTCAGTTTTAGTGTCATTTAGGGATCTCTCTGTATGAAGGAGGTAATCTTCCTTTTCTCCTTTATAGCATGTTGATACTACAGTCTTGTCCTAGCTTTCCTCTATCACTTACCATTTTTCAGTATTAAATTTGGACACTATTTCTTTTCCCATATCTTATTTTTTACTCACATGAATATCAAGATCAGTTTTGTATGAGAATAGTCAAAATGATGATGTTTGGATGAGAAACTAAAGTGAGTGGAAGGATAAATGAATTCTTGTCTTGTCTTGTTTAAAGCAGAGTACTTCCTTTAGTGCTTTTTCAGCTGAATTTCCTTCTTCCTGGAATATATTTATTTGTGGGAGAAGGAATGATTGGCAAGGTGTTGCTCTGTGGTGGTTTTATTGCCTCACATCTGAACAGCTCACTGTGGGTGTTCTCTATTTGATTCTGTTTTATGATGCTTGTGTCGTTTGGGGTTTTTTTTTTTCCCAAACAGTGATTTCCGACGGTTTGTCCGTGAGCGGCTCCAAAGCTCGTTCCTCCACGTCTCTCCGGCTGTCCGAGGGCGACTCCTTCAAGCTGCGCTGCTCAGCCGCCACCGCGTCCCCGGAGCACACGCACCTGCACGTCACCTGGCAGGTCAGGAGCGGCTCCTCTTGGCGGGACGTCCTCTCTTTGACGCACGAGGGCAAGTTCCAGCCGGGCCCCGGCTACGAGGAGCGCTACCGCAGCGGGGACATCCGCCTGGACACGGGCGCCAACGACACGTACCGGCTCTCCGTGTCTCAGGCCTCCTCCGCCGACGGCGGCGCCTACCGCTGCCTCGTCAGCGAGTGGGTCCGAGGGGCCGACGGCGCGTGGCAGAAGATCCAGGAGAAGAGCGTGGAGATCGCCACGGTGTCCATCCAGAGGACCGGTGAGTGCTCCTGGTCGTGGTGCTGTGTCCCGGCTCCGGTGCTTTGGGGTCACTGAACGAAGCGAGGGTGCGTTCCAGCAGGACCTGGAGTGCTGTGTGGATGGCTGGCCTGTTGTGAAAAACAGCAATCACTTGTTTTTAAAATTTTAAGAGTTTAATAGTAATAAAATGGTAATAAACAATAGTAATAGAATTAGAGTAATAACAATTTGTACAAATTGAATTAGGACAATATGAGACAATAAATACAAAGAGTTACAGACGTGCGGGTACCTTTTTCTGGGCAGCACGAGCCCGAAAAAGGGCACACGTTAACAGAGGATTAACCCTTAAAAACAATAGGCTGTTGCATATTCATACACTTCATACATGATGCATAAATTCCATTTAAATACAGGATTCTGTCTGGTCATCATCAACTTCTTCCTCCAAATCCTAACAGCACCTTCGAGGTGGGAAGAAGTTAATTTCTTCTGATAAGAGGGCAATAAATTCCTGTTCTCTCAAAGATTTAGGTGTCCTGTGGCTGCTATCTTGCTGCGAGTCCTTTCTTTAAAAAAAGTATCCTACATAGCATAGTTTCTACGTTAACATTTTTTATAACCTAAAACTATATTTAACACAGTACTTAAGAGAATTAATACAGCATTACTTTCTAACACAACACATATAATATTCCTTTTAATATTTGCAAAAAGCCAATCATAAAATACATTCATTTTTCACACCTGTTAAATTTGTGACACAATTTTTCTAGCTTTATTTTGGAGAAAAGGGCATGGAATGATTGCCTGGAACCTCTTAGAGGTTCCTGCCTAGACGCAGATTTCATCTCATCCTTCATTCACTTCAGAGTGCTCATGGTTTTTATATATTTTTTTTTATATTTCTTAAATAAACATTATATTTAACACCTGGTCCCCCAAAGCCTTCCCTCTGCTCTCTTATTAACACTGGGTTCCATAGCACTAAACAGCTGCACTTCCCCTGTGAAAGTGGCTTGTGATTCAGTGATAGATGCGGAGCTCTTCTGTGTGCTGTTTATTAAAATAGTGTGGAAAGATCAAGAGAAAGGAGGAAGGCAGTGATAATTTAACAGGGCAAATTACCCAATGATTTTTTATCACTGGTCTGATTTCTCTGCTCTGTTGGCAGGGGTCTAGGACAGTAATGGTTCTGTTAAACACATCATTGCATGCTTGGCTAAGGAGACAGAAATACATGCAGCGCTGTGCTGAGCATATCCAGATATCCCTGCCCATACAGATTCCAGGACTAGATGCACTAAGCACTTGATTGCATTAGCATTATCACTGCTGGTTGGAGGAGGGAGAGCGGGGGTGATGCACCTTATCACTCAATGGGTGGAAAAACAGGCAGTGATGGTCCTTCAGAAATATGAGATTATCACAGTATTTTAGAACTGTTCAGACAGAAAGGGTATCTTTTCATTTTTCTAATCCTTTAGTCACTAGGGAGAACTCAGAAGTCTGGGTTTTTTTTATTGGCTCCTTTAGATGTAGTTTTAGTGTCTTGGTGGTACTTAGCCTGTGAAATTTTGCTGGATCGATCTGTCCCCTCTTTTTCAGGGTGTTTGTTGCACAGCTAAGCTTGCAGGCACTCTCTGCTGACACAGGACTTGCCTAATTAAGAGCTGTAATTCTCGATTTTGTCAACTTTTGCAGTGTTGGTTTAAGTAGGTGGGGTTTAATCAGTGGCTGAAAACAGCATGAGGCTGGCCGAGACCAGCAGTGGTACAGTTTTTTGATGTGGTTTGGGTGTGTGGTTTGTTTGTTGTGGGGGATTTTGTTTTTCTTTGGGTTTTTTGCCTTCATTTTAAACTCTGTCATTAGCAGCACTGGCACTATATCAGGGGCATGAAGTCTTTTTTAAAGTTATGCTAAAGGGGATGGATAATTCTCCAGCAAAGTGCTGTATACACATTCTGTAGAAGGACTTGAAGAGCATCTTGTGCTGACATCTGAAATCTCTGCACTTGCATGCTAAAAGAACTTGAGATGTAAATGGTTATATGCCTATGGGTACACTCTCTCCAAGTCCCTCTATGTGCATATATTGCCAGATTGTGAATGCCCATCACTTTCATGAAGACAGAAATGTTGCTTGGAGAATTGCTGCTCTTAACCTTGCAGATGAGTCTTAGTTTGCATTCTGGTATTAGTCTGTTAAATTAGCTAGGCTTTCCTACTGATTGTAATCCCATGATAAGACAGTCCCAAGGCAAGTCCCAGTGAGAGATTCATCTGGACTTGGTTTCAGCACTCAGGTGCGGCCTGCTGCCCTCTGTCCAGTTTGACTGCTCTGTGTTATCAGGTGGTGAGGGGTGAGATTGAGCCTTGCTTGGTTTTATTGGCAGTAGTTCTGACTACTCTGTTTGGCTCTAGCCTTCATGTGTCGTCTCATTCTAGATGATAGTCCAAGGAAGTTTATGCAGATGGGGAACTATTATTTAGCAGAACATGGTTTTACATAGAAGTCACGAATCTCAGCAGAGACACAGCTGCTGGTTTAAAGCAGGTATTTCTATTCTTGCCGGTGCTGAGAAGAGCCACTGCTGTAGCAGCCCTGTCCACTGGCCTCAGTGGAGGCTTTAGTAGCTGCATTACACACTGTGGGAATGGTGCTGCACTGAGACCCAGATCTAATCTTCAGGCAGCGTAGAACGAGTGAATGAGCAAGTGAAGATACATGGTAGCCTGATCTTGACACTGTGCTTCCATGGTTTTCTTTTTAATATTCTGTATCTAGTCCTATTTGAATGCTGGCTGTGACCATATGTGATATGTATATTAGAAATATTCACAGGCCAGTGGTTGCTGAGTGTGTTTGGAGTGGCTGTTGGTGTTGCTTTGAAGTCCCCAGTGTGTCTTGTTCTGAGCAGTAAGTGCAGAAATCAGCAGTATAGAAGTTACTGCTGCCTTCTGTTTGCTTCCATTTCATGTTTTTGCAGCCCACCTGAGGTCAGTCAGGACTCCAGCATGTGGCCATGGCTGCTTCTCATCTAAATCTGCTCCATTCAAGGAGTTCAAAAATGTCAGCAGAAGCCATGTTGAGTTCCAGTGTAGTTCCTAGTGATTTCTGTCGATGCTTGGTCTTCTGAGGCATAGTCCCAAAACATTTTGTTCCTCCTGTGAGACTGAAAAATTCTATACACATTTTACTGCTGTGCAAAGGTGATGTGCAGTCTCTGGATGAGACAAAGCCTTCATGGACCAGTTGCTGTTGGGTTATAAAAATGCTGTTCTCCCTCCCTTTCTCCCCTCTGCCCTCATCACACATCCCTTGCTTGACTGATAATGTGTATTGCCCTTGTAATAGATCACTCGGCTCAATATCCAATAGGCATTTGAAGGTTGGGCTGCTGAGCCTCTTCAGAAGCTCCTGTTACAGAATGTGAGAGTGAGCTATGTTTATTTAAAGTAACAAATAAAAAAAAAGTTTTTGTTTGAATTTTTGTGTCTCTCTTTCCAAGCTCTAGATGTGGTCATCTCAACCAGCAATGTGTCTGTGACCGAAAGAGACTCCCTGGATCTTACATGCAACATCACGACAGACAGAAGCGGTATTTTCCAAGCAGAGGTGATGTGGTATTTTTCTGCATCACCTGATGACACCTTGTCAGATGCTCAGCTCTTGCTGAGCATGGACCACGATTCTGTTGTCAGTGATTCAACTCTGATCAGCCTCAGCCACGTGGACAGGAACTCCTACCGCCTCCTGGTGCGCGATGTGGATGTGGAGGACTCTGGCTACTACTTCTGTGAAGCTGCTATCTGGGTGCCACTGCACAATGGGAGCTGGCATAAGGTGGTGGAGAGGACCTCTGCACCAGTCAGCGTAGTGGTGACAGCACTGGGTGAGTGATTGTGCTGTCAGATTCATGGGTAGTGTATCCCTCAATCCTTGGCCCCGTCAGAAACGGGAGAGGACCTTGCAGAGTCTCTTCTGCACAAATGTTTCTCTTGTTTGCATCCATTATCTGTGTGTAGGCATCTCTCTCTCACATATATTTCTCTTTATGCAAATATCCTTAGAAGCAAAGTTACCTGGGAGAATTACTAAAAATGAAACTCCAGTAAAACTTCTTAAAAAGCCTATTGTTTTACAGATAGGTCTAGATATGTCAGCCTACCCAATCTGTTCTGTAGTTGATTCTTGAGGGGATAATAGCTGCAATTTAGAGGCAGTGAAACTCCTCTAAAACAGTGAAACTCCAGTGAAACAGGATGTTGTTGCAGAATGGTGTAAGTAAGGTACGTGCACCTGCTAAATTGTGCAAGGTATTGGTGATATTTGAAGCATGAATGAAGCTGGATATGAACAGGCAGAGCTGTAGTGCTTGGTGCCTGTTCCCAGCTCTGACTGGAGGCAAGCATCCAGGCCCAAACCCTTTCAATGTACCCTTTCAGATCCTCTTGTCATGAGAAACTGGTGGTACTATCCACTTACAAAGGCAGAGCTCCTCCAACACGAAAGTGCTGAATGAGGCTAGCATATAGAGAGCCTGTTTTTCAGCAATAAATAGCTGTGCCATAAGGTTAAATCCCATCAACAATGACTTTAAATGTTGCATTTTAGCATTGTGCAGAGCAGCTGAGCCGTGGCCGTCTCCAAGTACACTTGTAATGTGTACTAAAGTGCACAAGTGATTAATGTCTTCATTTCCTGTCCTCCTTCAGCCATTCACATTGCGCATTTCACTTGTGAGTGTTCCCTCCTTTCCCCACTTGTGTGCATGTGCAGTCATGCACATGTGTCCATGTGTGTACAGATGCACTTGCACACTTGTGTGCTCTCTTTTTGTGCCTGTACCTGTAGGACTTCTTTTTAGTCTTTCCATTCTAATTTAGCATTATTTGGGAACCAGGGAAAATAAAATCTGCTTTTCAGCAGATGCAGATGCTTGGTTGCTAGGGGGAGAGAAAGCAGAATAAATTTTCAGTGTTTGAGGTTTTCAACTGCATCCAGAATTTACCAACTCCTCCTCCTTAATGGAAGTTAAGAGCTCCTGGAGTATTAAGTCGTTGAATTGTCAGTGAGGCTGTTCTTTGACAGCTGACAGAGTGGAGGAATGAGGTTTATCCAGCCAGCCTTTTATTCTTTCTAAATCCTCTGTTAGAGTGTCTGTCAGGGTGAAGCGCCTATCTGGAGTGGTGCTATCAAAGAGAAACTCTCTTCTAAGGGTCCTTCCCCTGCCCACAAATGAAACAAACCTCAAGCAATTTTCTTAGAACTTGGGATTCTTGTGGCTTTCTCCTTCTTGTGCCTCTGTCTAGACAAGTGCATCTGCTTTCATAGTCTTTGTTGCTATGAAGATATTAGTTGGTCTTGAATGCTTTCTTTTTGAGGGGAGGGCGTGGCAAAGGGGAAATGGTGAGAGAGTTGTAGAGTGTGAGCAATACATCATGAGGCCCTGGAGTAAACTACTCTTTTGTGAATGGGAAAAGCAGTGTAGCTGTAGGGTCTAAGGGGCCTTACACCAAAAGTGGGGTTTGGCCATCATTATTAATCTGTGCTTTGGTTGTAGCAAAATTCTGTGCATTTTCTTTTTATTTGTCTTGCCCTGAAATAGTGCAGAAATCTCCACATGCTCACTGGTAGTAGGTACCACAGTCTTTGTAAGCAGTGCTTTTATGATTTTATGTTGCCTAATGTCACAGAAACTCCCCACCAGTATTACCAGATTCTCTGGGGTCTGGTGTGTATTGCTGCCCCTGTTCTTGCTGGATGCAAGGACACTGGTGAGAGATCTTTTCTGCAGGCTGACATAGAAGCAGCAGAATTGTAGCTTGTTTGCTACAATTGTTTTTATCCTTTGCATCTCAAGTCCAAAAGTGCATATGCACACAGAGTTTCCACAGCAGTTCTATTAAGATGCTTTATTATTATGGTTTGTTGGTGAGCTAAGCCTAAGTTTTAGCCTTGGATTGCCTTCTTTGTCCCAATTATAGCTTCAGTTAATTGTTTCTAGGAGGGCAAAATGCCAAGTAAAACATAAAGCAGGAAATAAATACAGAGTGCTGAATACAGTTAGGCTGTAAAAGCCGTGTGATGAGTATTGGCCAAACAGTTGGGAAGCTGGTCATTTTTCTGAATTATAGCAGACAGCAAGACAAAAATATTCTAATACTAGTAAATAAATATGTATTTCCTTTGTGGTGTGAGGTTCTTGCTGTAATCTTTTTCCTTTACTATCTGTGTAGTCTGAGAGAAAATAGTCATGCGGCTCCCTTATCGCTTTTAGGCTTTGGGCAGCCAGCTATTTCAGATTTAAATACAACAGCCCCATTCTTAACCCGTGAAACTCAGGCACTGATTTTCCAGCCTGAGATATTCCAGCCTCACAGCTGCACAGCACAGACTTCTCTATTCAGACTGTGAAGCTTTTTCTGATCTACACATCTTCAACTCTTATCCTACTTAGTATTTCTTGATCTAGGTAGTATTTAAACTGCTGATCTCTGAAATTTACTGTGCTCAGCTCTTGGTGCTGCCTCTGGCCAGTGCCAGTGGTGTTCTGTGTCCCCTGGTTTGGGTGAACTGTTTGGCTGTTTTTTACCATTCTTAAGCTGTTGTAGAGACACAATGGGACGGTTAAGTGTGAAAAATAAGGCATTTCATGATGGGAGATGGCCTCTTATCCTGGAGAGATACTGGGAAAATGGGATGTCTCTAGTCAGTCCGAAGCTAGAGGATAACCAGTGTCCTGCTGCAGGCTGCCCCAGGCATTTGACAGATGCAAAAGTGTCTGGTTGTGTTGAAATCGAACCCACAGGTGGGTTCTTGGGGACAGGCTTAAGAAGGGAATTATTTTGCTCAGCAAGATCTATTAGTCCTGGTTGTTCTGAAATGGTCTGACTAGACCTATGAAATGGAGTGTCTTGTTTGGAAATGCAGGCTTAGGGGTACCTGTGTCAGAGAGGTGCAAGTCTGGGAACCAGAGTCAAAGTTCCAGTCTTGTGAGAAAAATGCATATTGTGGCACTCAGCTTGGATGCTAAAACTGGATGTTAGAAGTTAGTATATCTTTTAATTAAGTCTGACATTTTCTCCCTTTTTGTAGCTCCTAACCCGTTTCTTCTGCGTTTCCTCTCCTGCAGAGCCAGACTATGACGTGTTCCTGAATGCCTCTAAAACACCCAAGTTTTCAGATGACCCCACAGAGCTGAACTGCAGGATCACAAACGTCCAGGACACCGAGGCAAACATCCGCTTCTCCGTGTCCTGGTACTACCGGCAGCGCCTGCCCGGTGACGACGCGGAGCCGGAGGAGCTGCTGGCTTCCATGGATGCAGACTGGGCTCTGCTGCCTGGGGACAGGGCCAGAGAGAGGATTCAGAACGGGGAAATCATCTTGGCCAAAAAGTCTGCAGACACCTTCAGCTTGAGAATCCAGTGGACTTCGGAGAATGACAGAGGGGATTATTTCTGTGTCATCTCGGCGTGGAGCAGGCACCGCAACAACAGCTGGGTGAAGAGCAAGGATGTGGCTTCTGCATCTGTCAACATCTTCTGGGCTACACAAGGTAGGAACTTCACACCTGGGTGGCTGAGAGTAGGCTTCTCAGCCAGAAGGCCTGCTAGTGGGCTTTGGAAATGGAGTCCTGTGTTGAGGAAGGTTTAAAAGCGCTGTGAACTTGTGTAAAGGCTTCTTATCTGTGGAGGGGAATAACTGCTTTACATCACTCCTTTATTTTACATCACTACCACTTCTATGCAACAGTTTGGAGTGGAAGGGCAAAGGAGGAGACACCATCAAAGGAGAGTTTCCATCAAGCTGCTGAGACTTCCAGGAGCTGGGCTGGAAGTGGGCGGGGTGGCATCCAGCAGTGCTGCTGCTGTGGTCATTGCCCACTGTTGTGGCTTGGAGTATTTTGGTCTCTTTAGGGTGCATCTTGCTGCTAACAGCAGGGTTGTACCGAGGTGACAAGAGGAATGTCACTTTGTCTTCTCTGTCTGACAGTTTGGGACCTGTGGTTTTGTTTTTCTCTTCTATAAGCCTGTGTTTAAAAGGCACATCTGAGGAAGTTCATGGGCATAGTACTACTAGAGTATCAAAAAATAAGTGGGTAGCTGAACAAAATGATGGAGTGGTTTGCTTGGATCTTGACCTTTTTTTAGGGGAAAGTGAACTAGCTCTGGTCAGTACTTAACTTATTCTGGGAGGATTTTTAGAAGCTTAATAGTTACCTGAAGTTGCTTAACTCTGGTTTAAAATGGGATCTGTGTTTCCTGGATGTGCTGTACAGTGATACTGTTTTGGCTCAGAGTGAAGTCATGCAAGAGAGTCTGTTGGAGAGCATCAGAAAGGTTAGGATAACCTGGGATGCAATATCTTTGTCAAAAATCTGTGTTTAGCTAAGCTGCATTTATCTTGATAGACTAGTTTAACAGTATAGCTTAGGCATCCACAGGCAGAGAACTGTATTTGAGAGACAAGCAATTTGAAATAATTTTGAAGTTGTTTAGGGATAATCCCTGAACAGCAAATTGGAAATCTTCTGCTGTGATTCTGCTTCAGTGGAGACAGAAGTGATGCTCGGTACTACACATGTGTGGTCCAGGGAAAGGTTTGGGGTTTTTTTTGTGTCTGTTCGTTTGTATTTTTTTTTACCCCTGAAGCTGACTTCTCCAGCAGGACTGAGAAGTCTCATTAATGCTGGATGTTGGTCACAATTAGTTGAGTGTTATGCCACAGCACGGAGTGTGTGCATGTGCGTGCCAGTGTAATGGATCGTCGCCTTCGGAGCAGCTACAGAGACCAGCTGGAGTTGAAAAGTCTCAGCCTGTGTTGACATTTCTGAGGGAAAACAAACCGTGACAGGTGTGAACATTCCCTTGGTTCTGGTTTTGTTCCAGAAACTCTGCTAATTTTGCAGCACAAATGTAAATGTTATAGTCCCCGTGCTGAAAAGTACGTTCTGTTGGCAAAGCTTGGGGTTGGGGGATTTATTATGTGAAAGTGAGCTCTCCTAAAATACCTTCCCCTCCTGAAAAAGAATGTTATATGTATATGAGGTGGGGAGGGTGAAATGTAGGTTTGATTTCCCCTTCTCTTCCCCCATCAACTCCCCCCTGAGCAGTGCAGCCCCAGATGCCTCTCCCTGTGTGCCCTGTCCCCTGCCACATCCCATTTCTGTGAGCTGCAGACCCGGCTGCTGGGAGCCAGCAGCTATGAAGGAGTTAATCTGCTGCTGCCTGTGCTCTCTGACTGTTGTTTTGACAAGTATCTCTGGTGATTTGAGTCCCTAACTGCTCCCAGTGCTTATAAAAGCCAGCAGCCAGGCTCCCACGTGTTTGCCTAAGGAGAGAAGAGAAATTTGCCTCTTCCTTGCATGGCTTATGCCTATACAGAGACTTTTCTTCCATCTATTTCATTGCTCGCATCTTCTTTGTTGATTTTAGAGCACTGCTTTGGGGGAGGATGTTGGAGAAATCTGACTTTGAAAACAATTGTTCTGAGTTCTTGAGAAAGGAGAAATGGGTTTATATTGTGTCTGTGGGTCTTTCAGCAAAGATGGGTGTTCAGAGCCTTTATTCAAAATGTAAACATCATGTAAACATGTAAAAAACCCTTTTTTTGTGCATTGTATAATAAGCTGTGTGTTTGCCCATTTGAACTTGGGGTTTTATTGTCTCTGTTTTCTGTTTTATTCTACGGGGGCCAATAATGCTCGCGCATCTTTCTGCTTACTCAGCTTTGCAAGTGCAGCCAATTGCTATCATAGATCACCATTGTTTTTGACATAGTCTGCCTGATATGTTTCTTCCCCCCTTCTACTACTTCCCCTGCCAAGGTGACAAAGAAGGCATCTCCGTCTCATCTCAGAAATTAAAAACATCAGTTGTATTATATTTTGCTTATTTAGAGTACAAATTCCAGTCAGTGAAAAGGGGTAAAGAAAGGGAGGAAACCTTTTCTGACTAGCTCTGGAAATTATTTCAACCCAGAAAAAGAGTTTGATATTCTAAAAGATAATTTTATTTATTTATTTGAATACAAGTTACATTTAGAACACAGATACTGTTTGCATTGAAAAAAAAAAATCAATGCTTTTTTCCTAAACCAGTGTTGTCAACTTTGGATCTGCATGGAGTACTTAGCAGAAGAAAACATTATCTTTTAATTGAAATTCCAAATCCCAAAGGTACTATTATTTGGGGTTTTGTTAATACTTCTGTCTTTAATTTACAAAATAATTATATTTAACATCGTGTTACTTGTCCTAAATGTTTGCCTAGCCCTCCCATCACACTTAATTGGGAGCAAGGGTGCCTTAATCTTTCAGACAGTCCTGCAGGTAGAGAGCAGATAATGTTTCTGCCATTACTTGTATTGATCATTGCTGATGTATACAGGCACAGGGATCCCCATGGCACTGAGCTGGAGTGTGCCTGTGCCAGTTTGGCTGTAGGGACAGGAGTTGTGCAGTCAGGTGTGTGTTTCTGTGTTCATGCAGGCTGCAGTGCAGGCTTTGCTGTGCCTGCTGTGCCTCCAGAGCTGCTGGGGCTGCTGTTGTACCTCGAGGTGTGGTACAGCCACCTCCTACCATGGCAGAACTGTCACTGCATTAATGCCTGCTGCATTCCCTGCACCTGCAGCCCCATCGCTGCACTGGGGATGGAGGGGCCTTCATGAACACCAGGATTCCTGTCAGCAGCCTCAATCAGCGCTTTGAGGCTCCAACATTGATGTCAGCCCTGGACAAAGTGCTGCTTTGCCAGCTGGAGTCAAAGCAGTGCAGGGAAGGTGTTTGCTGTTTATTCTAAAGTCTTCTTGCCCTTTTAGCTGTTGGGCTTCTCGAAAAATTTGCCTGGTGTAGATGAGGTGCAAACTGGTTTTGATCACTACCCAGGAAAAGCTCTTGAAGCTGAGCACAAACTTTGTGGTGGAAGAGCAACAGGAGAATTACAGTGTGGCTTGGTCACTTGGACTGGCCAGTGAGGGAAGGCAGAAGCTTGCACTGCCAAGCTCCAAAGTACAGTTTACTCAAATTTTATTTGAGTCATTTGGCCAGGATTTCTTCTGTAGCTAGCCCTGTGTCTTGGAGTAGTGCCCAAGCTTTGGGTATGGTTTACTTAGGAACTCTTCCCCTACTGCTTTCCAGAACAAACTGCAGATTGCAGCCTCCTGTATATGACCAAGCAGGGTGTGCTTTATTGTGCTTTTCGTTCTTGGAGCTTTACAAGAAGGAGATGAGACTCCACATGGGACTGCAGGCGTGTGTGCAGACAGGCAAGTGTGTGGAGTAGCGGTCAAGACACACATTGCTTCCTTGGCAATTCCCAAAGGATTAGAAATGAAACCTTAGGCTGCAGTTCTTGGAAGAAAACATTCATATGACCTCTCTGGCTCATCTTATGCTGCAAGATCTGATGAGTAATTTCTGCTAACATAGGAAACATGAAGAGACTTTCCTTTCCCTCTTAATTTTCTGTGCAGATTACTGTTATTTCTAAGATAAGTGCCAGATCTTTGGCCTGCCCTCTTTTTCATAATGTGGACTCTCACACACACAGACAGCTACACGCTTCTCTAGGTGGGGGTGAAGAAGTGCTAATTACATTTCATCTGCTGCTACTGAAGGAGAACAATATTGGCACAGAACCAGCATATTAAAAATGGTGATCCAGGTTTTTCTAGTTGATAGGCTATGGAGCCTTTTTGTTGTTGTTGTTTTACTTTGCTACATATACAGGTCTCTAATATTATGGCACATACAGAAACATCCCTTTGATCTTTTTTTGACTTTGTTGCAAAAAGAAATATTCAGCACCTGTATGTTATGGGTTGTGTGTCCCCTTCTCTGTTCTGTTCTAAATTTCTAATGGTCTAACACAAGAGGGGGTGCCTCTGCCTTGTGTGTTCATCCAAACTCAGGGGGTTTTAAAGGTAGAAAAATGCTTTGAAAGAACTTTCATAAGAATGTATCTCCTTGTTCTTAGTTCAGCATGTAATTTCTAACCCTTCTGGACTCTATCACTGTTCTCCAGCTGCATCTCTGGGCCTTAGTTGTTCTCTCCCACAAACTCTTACCAGCGGCATTTCTGCTGTTGTCCCATGCTGCCACCACTCCTTTCTCCTTTTCCTTTAGCAGAAATACTTAGGGAAAAGCATTTGCTATTGACCTCAAATGGAAAACCAATAAAGGATGTCTAGGGACACAATTTTCTCTGTCCTTATTAGGGACAAGACACTGCCCTTTGTGCTGCTGCCTGACCTGTGGCTCAGGGAGTAGTGGAAGCTAAGGTGTTTGAATTTTGAAGCTCAGGTAGTAGGGAGAATTATCTCAGTTGTAGCTGAACTGCTCTGGACATGTGAGGGTGTTTAATCTTAAGCACATATAACAGAGACCAAATGTAAGATTTCCTTTCTGATGTCTAGGACTCTGTGTTCTGATGTGAAGACCAACAACATAAAGAACATTTAAGTAAGGAGGGATTTTTGCCCAGAGCCTCCTCATACGGCCTAGAAAGCTACAATATGTGCCAGAAAAGTATAACTAGCTGTTTGTGCTTCTGCTTTTGGGACAAAATATAATTGCCTACTATGTTCCCAAAAGTATGTGAAAAGCTGATCTGTGCTGGGCTCCTAAATACTGCAGGAAATATCAGAGTCTCTCAGACACAGAATGAGGACAAAAAAAGGGGTTTGAAGACTGGAATTTGGTATCTGATGAGTCTTTTCACAAGAGAGAGGAGAATGACTCTGATGCTGTACAACTTCATTTGTGGTTGTACCCCGAGTGCTGAATGTGCAACTCTTGTATTGTCACTTGCTTAGTGGGTGGAAGTGTGAGGGGGGTTTGGTGTGGAGTATCAAATAATTCTGTGCTCAGCTGGACCACTAGAAGCATCTCAGCCTTCACTGCTCCTGCTGTTTCTTTATATAGCTTTGTACTGTGATCTGCTTTATACAGTACTGATTTAAAGTTGTCATACCGGGCTTCTCATCCTGTGGGCTGTGTTTACTCATTGTGAAAACTGCTGCTTGAAGGCAAAACACTGCAAAATGTAATCTTGACAAGTATCTTGTTGCTCTTGTGGGGAGGACATAAATATTACTGCATTTAAGTTCAGTTTTGGGAAATGTGTTTCAATCTCGCCATTCCTGAGAAGTTTTGTCTTGCATAAAGAGGTTCTGTGGAGCTCTTTAACAGGTCTACACTTTTTTTTTTTTTTTTTTTTTTTTTTTTTTTTTTTTAATAAAGGAGAGAAGGGAGAATATGGTGCAGCAAAGTAAGTCCAGAGAGTTGGATTGGCTGTATTTTTGCAATATTGTTATTCCTATGTATTCTGCCCCAGCCCCCCCTTCCTTAAGAAGAACCATGATGTACAGAGTGTCTTTTCGTCACAATGCCAGGAAACTAGCAACTCCCTTTCCTTTTATCTGATTCTGATTTCAGTCACTCCTCATTTTCTCAGTTTCTCACTGTGAGCTTGTATTTTGTGTGTCTTGGAGCTGTGCTCCGACATGTATAATTTTCCCAAACCCTGTAATTAAGGGATTCTTGGGATTGAGGAGACAGTAGAGAATGGAAGGAAACTAAGCAGTAAGTGCTGCTGGAATTCTTGATGTCAAATGGGAAATGTCAGCACTTCTGGTAGGCTTGTATGGAAGTAAATGTATGAGAAGCAAGGGGAGGAAAGACTGGCACAGAGGCAGAGGTGTGTGTAAATCTGTATGGGAGTGCCTGGGGTGGAGATTTCTGTTACACCGAATTTTGTCACCTGTTTTCAGCTGAATGTTTCTGGGTTGCCGTTAGGAATGCCGTTAGGGTGGATTTTCTAGGGAAATAAAAGACACTACACTAAGTGCTGCCAATTTAGCAAGTGGCAGCTTTTGGCATTAGTCATGAGTATTTCAGCAGTGCCCTTATTACCCCGTCACTGAGGGTGCTCTTCCAGTGCCAGTATAAAACTGGGACTCTGAATCTGTCACAGACATCTTTTATGAAAAATGCTTTCCTTAGGATTATTCCTCCTGAGAAGCTGAGAGGCCTCAGGAACAAAATGTAAACATTGATTATCTGCTGCTGTGGAATGCAACAGGTGCATCTGGGATTGGCTCATGTTGGTTGTTTCTAATTAATGGCCAATCACAGTGGGCTTGGACAGAGAGTCCGAGCCCCAAGCCTTTGTTATCATTCTTTCTTATTCTATTCTTAGCTAGCCTTCTGAGGAAATCCTTTCTTCTATTCTTTTAGTATAGTTTTAATGTAATATATATAATAAAATAATAAATCAAGCCTTCTGAAACATGGAGTCAGATCCTCGTCTCTTCCCTCATCCTAAGACTCCTGCGAACATGGTCACATGAATCTTGTCTACTATCTTTATTCTTGAATAAAGCAATCCTGGAGATCCTGTCTTGTGGCAAGCTGTGTATTCTATTTGTTCAGTATTTGGTGTTTGTTTGAATTTGTGCATCTTGACCCAAACTGTTGTGTACTGTTGAGTAGCATTCTGGAGTGTCCACATGTTTACATAAATGTGCTGGGATTTGTTCCTCCAAAAAAGAAACTTTGCCTGTCTGTGACCTCCTAGGTTTGGATGGTGCTGCAGAAATACCCGTGCCTGCTTGTTAACCCTCTCTTGCCGCTTTATTTCCTTCCCTCTTCAGATTACACGCTCACAGTGGAGGCGGTGAAATTGAAGCCATTCTTTGTAGCAGGCCACACCTTTGAGATGACGTGCAAAGTGTCCTCCAAGAACATCAAGACGCCGCGCTACTCGGTGCTCATCACGGCCGAGAAGCCCCTGGCGGACCAGTCGAGTCCCAACGGCACCACGCGCATCATCTCCCTGAACCAGGACTCGGTGGTGCGCCTGGAGGACTGGACGGACCAGACGCGCGTGGACGGGGTGGTGCTGGAGAAGGTGCAGGAGAACGAGTTCCGCTACAGGATGTACCAGACCCAGATCTCGGACGCCGGGCTCTACCGCTGCGTGGTGACCGCCTGGTCTCCGGGCGGCGGGGGCATGTGGCGTGAGGCCGTCAATGGCTTGTCCAACCCTATCCAGATAGACTTCCAGACATCAGGTTGGTACAGAACCTGGCAGCCCCGTGCCTAAGCCAGACAGGGAGGGAATTCTGTGACGCTTTCCCATTGATTTCCCCGTGTCTCAGAAATATCTGCTCTTTGGAACAAATGGCATGATGGCTGAGAGCTGTGCTTGTCTTCTTTGGTGGTACTTGTGTCCTTTGTGCTATTGATTGTTTACAGAAAGATGTTTAATGAATTGGCTGTAATCATAACCCCTGGGTTTTTCTCTGCTAATGCAGCTTTTATGGTCCTGCAGGCTCAGAGCTCATTCTCAGTATGGAGCAACTGCTGCTGCATTTGCCAGCTGTATCACTAGATTGTTAGTAGTGGCTGCTCTGGAAGAGCATTAATATAAACTGGATTTCTGTTCCAAAACAGACTCTATTAGCATAGCATTAAATTCCCTGAGCACACCTCACTGTTGATGTAATTGCAGAAAATGGCCAGGTCAGGGTAACATTTCAGCCATCTCAGTAAGTGTATCCTGCCACTGCAAGACCTTAGAGGTCCCTCGGGACTGAACTACAAAGCTCCACAAATTGGGAGGAATTTCAGTACCCAGAAGGACATCCTGTTTCTCAATTGCTTGCTGAAACTCTTACCTTCAGCTGTAACTAAGCCTGCCTGTTGAGACTTTTCTATAGAAATGTGCCTGTCCTGATACTGTGTTGGAGGGAGGGAGAGATGGATGGCATTGATTTGGATCATCAGAGATGCATATTAACTCTGACTTCTGTCATGTTCTATTGTTGGGAAGTGCAGCGGGAGCTGTTTTTATAACACTGGTGCACAAATGAGTGAAGGGCTCCTCTCATGATTTGATAAACCAGGCTGGTGGAGTTTTGAGCTGGTGGAGCTTTCATGCTCATATTCTGCTGGTAGTAGCAGGCTGTAGCATATTTAGGAGATGTGTCTGTGTCTAGGCAAGAGCAGCCTGGCTTCTGGCTGCATCCAGAGCTAAGGTAATTATTCTAGATGATGTGGTTCCTAAGATCTGAGCTTGCTCATGTGGCACACTGGGAAAAGGACAAGGGCTGATCCTAGGAGGACAGCCTGGCAATGAGGACATCACTTCATAGGAAGCTTTGAGATGTAGATTTGATCTGAGCTGGCCAGACAGAGGACATTGACTCAGCTTCTTTCAGTTTTAGGTAATTTCTCAAGATGGTTTAGTGGGCTGCAGTTTTAGCCTTATTACTCTTCATATCTGGGTCAGACACAGTGGGAGAGTAGTATTTGCAAAGGGAGCGATAAAAGAAACCAGCAAGAATGAAATCTGCACAACACCCCACCCTGCCCCTCCAAGCTCCTATGCGGAGGCTTTCCTGCACAGTGCAAAGTGGTGGTTTGTGCCTCTCCCAATATTGCTGGTCTTGTGTCACTTTGAACTCCCATCCAGAAAGTTTGTTGGGATGCTTTGACAGGCAGGGTTCAGAGGGAAGCCTGCGAGCAATGCGAGGGAGGGAAGCGTGCGTGTTGTAGTCTTGGCTTCTCTTTGCTGCCAGCCTCTCCTCCCAGCCCCCCCACCCAGATAGGATTTCTGGAGCGTGGAGTGAAGAAAGGGAGGCAGCGTGTAGAAGTGCCCTGGGAATGTGTGAATTCCAGTAGCAGGGCTGGAGCAGGGGGAGGGATGGTCCTGAAGCCCTGTCAGCCTTTCATTCTTCACCAAAGAATGAAGAAAGAAATGAGATCCCAGGCACAATTTGCTGCAGTGCTATTTCCCAAAATAATCTTGACATGTAGCAAAATCTGTTTTGAAATACCTGCAATTTTCTTTAATTAATGGATGAACTTTGTGTCCTTCAGTTGTTACTCAGATATCCCTGCTGGATATTCACCTCTGGGCACGATGAGAACATGTGATGAGCACAGTTAGAATGGACTAACTCTGGAATTATTATTTGGGAAATCATCTGGAATTAAGTACACAAGACAGAAGATGTTTCGTGGGTGTGTTACTTTGGTTTTGTGTGCTGAAGCCTCCTGTCTTTGATGCAGACTGAGTCAGGGAGCCAGAGGTAAATGGCAAAGCTGTGGAGCAGCTATGAAAGCACAGCTCAGATATCACACCCTTCTCTTGCATCCTGTGGCACAAGCAGCTGTCAGACTTGTTCTTCAGAAAAAATAAGTTGGTGCCAGAATTTCCCTAATGGGCATGGTGAAAGGCAGAAGTGCTGAGAGAGCTACTTATTTGTCAGGAAAATTTCCTCAAAATTGGAGGGAAGATACTAACAGGAAAGGTGCAGGAAAAAAAGAGGGGCATGCAGCTTTCCAGGCAACTGGGAAAAAATCCCCAAAACCTGGGGAGAAGCAGTGTGCTAAATCCTGAGTTGTAGGGAGGGTGGGGTGTGGTATCTTATGAGTGCTTGTCCCTGATAGGAAAACTGTTAAGGAGTCAATTGCACTGATTTCTCAAAGTGTAACAGAAAGACAACTTACCTATAACTGCTGGAGGAAATATATATAGCAGTGTAATTTTGAAAAATAGAATGTATTCCAGTCTCCTCCAAACTTTGAAATCTTGGGCTTGGGCAGCATTTTCAGCTTCCATCATGGCTGTTGAAGTGGGGAGGGGATCAATAGGGAAGCAGCATTTTCAGCAAAAGGAAGCCCTTAAAGGGTTTTACGTGAAGCTTTTATTCCTAGGAGGAATTTCTTTCTCAGTTGTTTTTATTGATTCCCCTTTGATGGGGGATGGTGAGGCTTGCTGGGACTGGGAATCCTTCTCTCTCATTTGACTCACTCCCAGATCTCTCCGAGCCGAGTGATGTTTCAAAGAGGAGTTTTTAAGCGTGCATACACACTGTGCCATGTGATCTCTCTGAGTGGCAGAGCTTTTCATATGTGAGCTGGGGACTGCACACATGTGAAACCTCAGTGTTTCCTGCCACAATAGGCTTGAAATGTGGCAGTGCTCTGAAATGTTTTTCCATGAACATCTGTGGAAAATGTCTTGCTCAGATTCTTTCCATTCGGGGCAGAACTTGCTGGCTGCAAGCAGAGATCTCCTCTCTTCTTTCTCCACTTGCTGTTGCAGAGGGGCGTATTTATTCAATTTGGTAATGATCTGAAATGTTAATGTAAAGGCATTTGTGTGAAACACCCTGAACTAAAAAAAAAAAAAAGAAAATGTGGATTTTGTCCACTGGACCATATGAACTGGAAGTGAGGGTGGGGGAGTGTGGTGAGGAGGAGCCTACTAGGCCATTAGTTTTCAAATATTCAATCAATGGCAGATTGTTCTCTGCTGGATATATTTTAATGCCAGAGAGGATCTTGTGAATCTTCTGGTATGACCTCATGGATAACATGGATCACTAAGACCAGTTTCATAAAACGAATGCTTTCTGTATGTCCAGCTGCTGTAAGCAAAATAAGCTTATCTGGTGGGCAGGGAAAGCTGTCCCATGTGAAGAATTTAATATTCCTCAGTGCTTTTTTGTTTGTCTTCCCAGTGTAGGGCAGAGAGGTTCTACCATGTCTTTTTTAAAAGGTTGCCCAGTGATGTGAGGAACAAGAGCAGCTGCCAGTGCCTGTCTTGAAATGTTCTCTTAATTTCATTGTGCATTTTCTACTCCAGTGCATCCTCTCTCCTCCTGAGCTATTTGTTGATGCATGTGTACAGATCCTTCTTTTCAGCCTGGAACACACCAGTCTTCTGTCCCTTGTGTTCTTCTCAAGCCAGTGTATGAAGACAGCTTCATAAACTCTGTTCTGGCATATGTCCTTTAAACTTCAAACCCTTTCACCATGAATTGGGCAACCCAGGTTGGTGTTTAGAATGTGTTTGCCCACCACACACTCTCAGGGGTTTTCACAGAAGTGACTTATTTTCCTTTCCCTTGAAGGAAACAGGGAGAAGGAAGCTTTTAATCTCATGTTGAGAAGTGTATTGTGTGAGAGATCCATTTGGAGCTTGGCTGTGCTCTGAGCCGTCTCTGCTCTGTGCCATTCAGCAGAGGGCAGAAAGTTCTGGAGAGGCAAAAATAAAAGAGAACTTGTAAGGGAAATATCTCAATGAAATCTTCGACTCTGGATTACATCTGCATGTGAGCTCATTGCACAGCAATGTATTATCGTCCACTTTGGAAGAAACTGAGATAAACCAAGAGCCGCTGAAATATGAGCTGAGTATTGATGTTGAGCTTGCAATTAAAATGAAATGATGCCCTGCAGTGACCCCGAGAGATACTCAATTTCAAGAAGGGCGAATAGAAAGATTCTTAAAGGAAAGAAGGCCTAATCACGGAAATGAATGAAAAGCAGCGCAGCAGAAACTCTTTGGCAGGAAAGGCTGGTATTTTCCAGCCACTCTTAATGGGCAGGAACGTGCTTTGTCATTGTGTGCCTTTGTGCCTGTGTGCATTAATTTGTAGCTGGAAGTAGAAACCACAGACTTAACTACTGAGGGCTTCTTCCAGTAACAGCCATTATGGGGCTGGGGGCAAAGCTTGTTAGGGAACAGCTTCACGGAGAAACTGGGAAAGGGCAGGGGTCTGGAAAAGTGAAGGTGAAGAAACTTATTAACTGGAGAAAAGCAGGTCATGGAATTCTCAGTTGAAGAGTGAAGGATTTGGTGCCAGGGCCGAGATGAGTAATATTTTGGACGATGCAGAGCTCGTGGGTTGCATCAGTTGTTTTCCCCGTTGTGGTCTGTGGTGCTGTGTGATTGGAAGCAGGGCAGCTGTGTGCTGGAATTCCAGTCCCCCTGGTCAGTAATGGCCTGGGCATGGGCTTCCTGGGGGGAACAGCCTGCCCCAGGTCTCTGTTGTCAGATTACTTGACCTTTCTCTTCTCTGCTTGGCTGGGAAATAAAGGTAGCTTGTGTCTGTGGGGAGACTATACCTTATTTCTGCAGAGAAGTACAGGGTAAAATGATAATCAAAGAAGACAAAACATCACCCAGGACCCTAGATAATTAGGACCTCTTCTGTTACAGACTGGATTTTAACTGGCTCTTGATTATTGTCTTTCATTTTCCCATTTTTCTTGCAGATTTAAAGTGTTCAGATTACTGAGCAGGGAAGGGAAGCAGGGAGAAAGTAGGGTGACATCAGGTAAAGAGGGCTCAGAATTTGTCTTAATCCTGAAGTTGAGTAAATTACCTTGATCAACTTGAACTCCTCTTTTCCACCCTGCAGACCCTTCAGTGTGAATCTGATTGAGCACAAAATATTAAACAAATCTTGGTTCAGCTTACAAACACCTTTTCCTTTCACTTTTATGTGTAGAGAATTAGCATAGCACTTTTTAGCTGAAAACTGTATCACTATAGGGTCTGGCTCCTGGAGTTACCTTCCTGGTGACATGAAATCAACAGTTTGAGCACTGAGATCTATTATAAAAGGGAACATTCAGAGAAAAGTACACTGAAGAAATCCTGGTTCTGGAACCTGGTTTCTCTTAAGCACTTCTGGATTTGTACTAGTAAACTTCTGACCTCAATTTCTTCACTTTCTGTTTAAAGTTGTGTAGTGTTTTTCAAGTGTTCAGGAGTCAAGAAATACTCTGAAAACTCTTACCATCCTGACTGCCGATGCTTTTTAATATAAAATTGTTCTTAGTTAAATAGGGAAGAAAACTTCTTTAGGTGTTTTATCTAAACTTACGTAAGGCCTTATTTATAGTGAGGAGCAGATATTTTGGCTTATTTTAAATCAAAGTTCTCAGCAGAACATGGCAATTTATGATGCTTAGCTCTTAGAATTGGGAATGCTAGTTTGTTTTGTAAATCTGTGCTCTTTAGCTTCCAAATTACCTGAAGGAATGACACTTATCTTCAAATCTGAAGTTATTAAAATCCAGTTATTTCTCAGCTTTCAAGCTCATGAACAGCTTTTCAGCATTTAACTTTGCTTTGTTCTTGATGAGTTTTATAGGTCATGCTTGATCTGTCAGCCCTGCAATTGAAACTAAACTCTGGTTTGTTTATTCTCCCGAGTGACCACTAGGTGCCAATTACAGTATTTCAAACTGTTAAATGCAGGTGGCAACGATGGCCAAAGCCACATCATCTGTTATCTGCAGAGTTCTGTTTTTCTCGGTGTTAATGTAGCATGAACTCATATCTCAGTGAAGGAGAGAGTTCCTGTCACCTCCCCAGCCCTCCCAGTGACACTGTAAGTGCTTGAGCGTGGCGGTGCTGAGACCCTGGGCCAGTGTCATCAGTGTCTTCTGGGCCTGTTTACCAATGCCTGGATCTGTAACCTTGGCACTGAGATGTGTGGCCTCTTTTTTGGGTGGTTTTTTGTTTGGTTTTTTTGGGGTCTTCTCTTTTTTTCTGTTTTTTTTTTTTGTTTGTTTGTTTTTTGTTTTTTTTTTGTTTGCTTTATGTTTGAGGGCAAAAACTTGAGAAAAGTGTACTTGAGTTTTGTGTTCTGAGCCTTGCTTGGCGTGGTCCAGATCCAGAGCTTCTTGAACACTGGGGGAATGGGGCACTCAGCCTCCTGCCTCTTCAGGTTTTTTTAAGGGGGGCAATAAATCTCTGAAGGTGCTTTATTCTGTCCTTTCATGCCTGAGGCCCAGGGCATGGGTTATGTGGGCAGAAGTCCTGAGATACACCCAAAGAATATATAACCCTAGGAAGCTGCTGCCACACAGTTTTCAAGACTGAACTGAGGAACTGTCACTGCAATTAATCTTGCTTAGGTTTTAATAAATAATTAAATGTTGTTTTCCCTCTTCAGCTGAACAGGGAAGAACACAACCCCCAACACACCTCTTGACTATTGATAACCAGTCCTAGCACAGGACAGTGATTTGTCCCTGGAGGTAGAAAAGGTAATTTGCAAGAGATGTTGCCTGCTAGGGAAATACCTGAAGGGCAAGAACTGTTTGTGCCTTACCAAGGGAAAGCACAATCCTGAAATGCCAGTGCAGCTGATGCCTTGGAGCCTTCCTGCCTGGGAAGTTTTGGCTTTGGTGTGGGAGGCTCAGTGGAGAGGTGCTTGGTGACCCAAACTGAGGAGTGTGTTGGGAGTGCTGCATTTCCATGGCTGAGTGACCAGCCAAGCTCAGCTTTTACCCTTGTGACATCCAGTGGCCAGGAATGCTCTGACTCTGCTCCACATCAGTGGTTTGTTGGTTTGCCAGGGTTTGAAGGCAGTGCCTGTTCAATGCAGGATCCACCTGGACTTTCAGCCTAGAAATAAGGCCTGAAAAATCCCATGTGCCCTCTTGTTTAACCTGCCAGGGGCAAGGTAGCCCATCCTTACTGACAGAGCTGGAACCATGCAGTTCATCTCTCTTGCCCAACCCCTCCCAGCATCCAGCCTGTCTGCTGGGCAGGGCATGTCCTGTATTCCTGATGGGATGTCACCTCACCTGCTGCAGGATAGACTGAGGATAGGCTCTGAGCTATGGACAGTATCAGGATTTTTGTGGTGCTGTTGTGCCTTTGATCAGTGCAGCAGAGGGACTGTGCTGGGAATGCAGGGACATTCCTAGCAGATTTTGACAGTCTCTTTATTTCTTTTCTCTGACAGTTCACACACAGCTTGAAACTTTTCTGCTTTCAGTTGGCTGGAGTGCCCTGGTCCATGCTGCCTTTAATCCCCTAGGACCTTGAACTTCTGTCTGCCCAACTCTGAACAAGAGGATGGAAATGTCTTGATTTATCAAATAATCAAATAGATTGCAAGGAGAATATAGATTGGTGTGTGTGTGTGAATGTCAGGAAACAAATTGAATTCACACAAAACCAGTTGAGACAGATGCTGAGGAAGCATTCAGATTAATCTCTCTTCATCTCCTGGGAAAAGGATCCCATCATGCTGAGCTTAAGTTAGGGCTGCAGCCTGCTTGTGCAGTCACTACCTGAGCAGCTGATCTCAGTATTCTGGGTCTCTTGTTTCCTTAAATGTGTTCTAGCATAAACATGTAGGAGTCTTGGTTGGTAATCCATGTATAACCTCTATTGCATCTCTACCACCCTTTTATCCTTGTTTGGGGGGTTAATTTGCAGTGTTAATTTTAAGAAAAATCTTCTAGTGTCAAACTCTCAGATTGTATGTCTGCATACTACCCTAGTATATAAAAGTACAGCTGCTTCTGGGGCAGAGGAGAGGGCTGGTGGAAACTGGGGGAGAGGGGATTTTGAAAGCTGGAGAAGTAATTATTTCACTGTAGTTGGAATTAATTTCTTAGCGTGCTGTATGTTTTCTGTTGACCAAAACAAGCCAGGCCCTTGTAGTCTAGAAAGATTGCACCAAAAATTATAGCTCTAGCTTCATGATACATCCAAGTTTCTTTCCAAAACCTCAGCTTGGGAGTGATGTGGTAAATGTGTGCCATGTGGTGAGCTATCAGTGTAGAAACCTGTTGAGAGGGCATGGCACAAGTGGGTTGTTTTAGATGATTTCCTGAAGTGTTCTTCATTAAAAGCATTATTTGCCACTGATCTTCAGTGGATTTGAAATTTAGGGTTCGTGTACTAAGAGAGTGGAAGAGAGCAAATAAACAGACTTTTTTTCCCTCCCAAGCCACCCTTCTCTGCTTGTTGTTGCTGCTGCTGTGCCAGAAGTCGGTGAGCCAGGTAATAATGGGAGTCTAGGGAGTGTAAAAAGGGTTACTTCTTAATCTGAGTCCCAAGTTTCTTCTTGGCTTCCCTGGCTCTGTCCCCCAAAGTCATCCTGGAGGTCACTGTTGGGATCAGCTTTCCTTCTATTCATTCCTTGATTAGCAAGAGAAGTCACAGAGGTATTTTGGTACATTCTTCAGTTTCTGCCCTGTGAAATAGAGAGCCTTAACAGTGCTGGCATATTTGAGGAATTGTGATTTTGTTACTTTTGCACTAGAGATGCAACTGTTGTCAAAATTTGGAGAAGTTTCGGGGATTTTAACCTACGCATGTCAGAAGTCTTTTAAAACATCACAGTGTTGTCATGGGATCTGAGTATTTCAAAACAGCCTAATGGTTTCCATTGATATCATCACCACTTTGCAGCTGAAGGAGTTACTGTACCCTTGGGCTTTGAGACATCTTCAGAAGATGCTATCTGTGGCAGAGCCTGAAGGAAAACCCACAGAAAAGTATTATCAGATGCACTTCTTGTATTGTCTGCTCCAGTGTAGAACCATTGGTATTGTTAAGATACTGTTTTGCTTGAACTTGAATTCCTATTGACAGCCTCCACAAAAAGATCCATTCTGGATTAGCCTGAAGATCTGAACTCCCATGCTCTTAAAGGAGTCACCAGTGGAAGACCAGCTGCTGTTGTGCTGGAGAGCAGGAGGCAGATTGGGGCAGCAGCCTCTGTGTTGGGTGAAACCTCTGATGGTTTGGGTACTTTGTTTTAGTACAGGATTAAATTACTAACAATGAAAAACTATTTTACAACAAACTTAAATGTCTGCTTGTCCCTACTTCAGAGCTCTGTCTCCACAAACTAGGAGAGGATACTTCAAAAAAGTGCAATAAAGGTGTTGGACAGTGAAGTAAAGCCTGTCATGAATAATTGTGGTTGCTCTTTTCTAGGTCCTGTGTTCAATGTCTCGGTGCATTCTGACAGCCCCACGATTTACCAGGGTGAGGTGGCAGATTTGCTGTGCATCGTCACGATGGAAGGAATGCCACTCGAGCCAGGTATTTCAGCAAAATTATTTCACCTGTAACTCATTTGCCTTCAGAAGTTACAGCCCCATGTCCTTTGAGTGAGGCTGGAGAGCTGAGAACCAACAATTCTGCATCACTAGATAAAACAGAGCAGTGTGCTTGCTTTTACACAGCTCAATTTAAAGCAAGGGTTTTTTTCACCTCCTGAGGGGAGAGGGGAAAAAATGTTCTTACCATCAAATCCCCCTCTGCTGTCCCCACCAACTGACCCCATTGCAAGTCTTCTCAACCTACATCCATCAGATGGGCCATGAAAACTATTCCTATTCCCTTTAAGTGGAAAGGAGATCCATTGACTAAACCATTTAGAAGAAAAAGGTCATCTATAAAGAAGTCTTAGACGTGTGGCCAGTCAGCTTCTTACTTCAGAGTGAATTTAAGGCGTAAGGTAAATCTAAAAATCATAATAATTGACTGCTGCAGCCTAAATGCCAAAATGAATGTTCAGAGTTGAGCATCCTTTTTTATGTGGAAGAAAGAAATACAGTACCTAGTTCCTGTGGGAAGAGCAGCAGACACAAAAGCAAATTTTTATGGAGAGCTGAAAAGTTCAGAGAATTGCTCAAAACCTAGCTGCTTGCCAAGCATTGTCTGAGCTGCTTTTCATCAAAATGCTGTGAGAGTAACTCTCTTTCTTATACCCAAAATTTGAGTTCGGAGTCAGTTGAGTCATTATGTATATGGATATAAGCATCTCTTTAAAATAAATCTACTAATATATATGTAAATATAAATATATGTGAATATATCTAAATATAAAGTTGTCATGATTTATGCCAAACTTAAAAGCCTACACATAAACCACTACAAAAGAGGTGCTGTGCAGAAAATATTACTTATGATGTAGTGGCTGATGAGGTGAGGTACTAGGCTTAGTAAAGGCCCATCACTTTGAAATTACAAGATGTCTGTTCTACATTAAATCTGAGCGTGGCAGGGAAGCAATTTGCCAGATTACAGTCGTGTGCTGCCTGTGAAAAAATGATAGAAGTCTGTAGATTGTATTATTGAAATGCTTGGTAGGGAGGAAAAGCTGAGTAAACCTTATTGCTGTCAAAAGACCCACAGCCTGGGATATTGGGCACAGCAAGCAGCAGCGTGTGCTGTGCATCCACCTCAGCCTGTCCTGTGGCTTCTGCTCTGCAGGAAGCCTCTTGCACGTTGGGGTGTGCTCAAGCTCTTGGAGGGATTGTTGTGAGGCAGTGCCCAGAGCAGCTGCCTTCCTCTCCAAAGCAATAATTGCTGACAGGGAGCAGCTGCTGCTTCTGCTGGTGCTCGACAGCCTCAATGAGCTCGGCGTTGCCTTGTGAAAGGGGCCTCAGCACCCCTGACTCACTTAAAACTTGAAAAGTGGAACACAACAAGTTCCACCTGAATATGAGGAGGAGCTTCTTTACTGTGAGGGTCACCACACACTGGAGCAGGTTGCCCAGAGATGTTGTGGAGGCTCCTTCTCTGTAGAGATGCAAAAGCTCTCTGGACAGAATCCTGTGTCATGTGCTCTGGGATAACTCCTGAGCAGGGAGGTTGGACCAGGTGACCTCCAGTGATCCCTTCCAGCATTATCCATGCTGTGAAAAGAGGCTGCTTAGTAGAAGTGGGGCTCTCCTGTCAGAACTTCACTGCAGTTGGGTTTGGGATGGGTTTGTGTGTATTTGGTACCTTGAGACTGGGAGGAACATGGACAGTATAAGGATAATCAAAAAGGTGTTGCCTTTTGAGGAGCTGCTCATAGCCGCACAGCTAAGTTTTAACTTGGCAACTTCACAAGGGTTTGTGGGTGTCTGTTGAATTGATAGATTACCCCTGGAGCTGGAGGTGATGCTGTTTCCAGCAGTCATGGGCAACCAGAGCAGAGTCTTAAATGTCAGCACTGTAATCTGTTCCATGGCTGGGTAATGTCATCTTGGACATGGCAGACCTCTGTGGTGGTTTTTTTATCTTGTTTCTTTCATGTTGGTGGTTTGTTTGCTTTCTTTGTTTTTCAGTCTGTAATGGGGCAGATGAGGCACAGACAAGTAAACCTAGACTGGAGTAAAATGTGGTTGTGGCAGGCTTTGAGGGGGCTTTTCAGTCCCTGCTCTGAGTCCCCAGTTGCAGGATGAGCAGGATTTGGGGCCTAACGAGTCATGCTGTGTGATGAAACAGTCCTTGCTGGTCCTCTGGATGAGACTGGCAGAAGAGCTGCAGGCAACAGCTGGAATTGATGCAGGGTGTGCAGACTTCCCTCATCCATCTGCCTTCCTGGCCTTGGGAGCTGGAGGGGGCTGATGGAGCAGGTTAGAGGAAGGGATTAAGGGCTTGTATGGTAGCACATTCCTCACTGGTAGCCTTATTCCTCTGTGTCCCATCTCTGATCTGTCTTTATGCTGTGTCACTATCACAATTAAATTCACAATTGGAATGGAGGACTTGCTTTTTAAATTAGTGCCAAATGTTAGACAGACTGAAAATACAGGGCTGTCTCATCCCACTGGGGACATGAGGCACGCTGTTAGGGAAAGCCTACACCTGGCATTTAGAGAAACAAGGCAAGAGTTATCAGCATCTTCTGGAAGAAAACAGATGACTGCAGTACAGACATGGTCATTCCATTTGGGGATGTGATGAGAAAGGAGAAAAGAGCAAATGGATTTACTCCCTTCTGAGGGCCGTGGTGGCTTTCAAGGCCATCTGTACTTCTTGTGTCAGATCTGCTGCAGGGCTGTGGTATGGGATCCCCTGTGAGCAGAGGAGGAGCAGGATGTTTCCCAAGATATCCTGTTAGATGCACATCCTTTGGATGTATTTGGTATGCCAGCCAGCTCTGCTCTTGTGCACACAGACACTCAACTTTGCAGGCATGCATGTGCATTAGTATGTATGCCTCCTGTAGTACATTGGTTTCAGGGGCTACCTCTTCTCCCTCTTTGTATGCACAATTAAAAAAATTAGTACTTTCAAGGAGCTGAAGAAAAGCTGAATGACCAGTTATCTTTGTCAGTGCCATTTGTTCATTAGATTGATTTTTTTTTTTTAAATTTTTTTATTCCAGAGGCATCACTTATGGTTTGAATCTTTTTCTGGTAGAGGCAGCTCACAATGCTTCCAGTGTGTGTTTGTGGGAAATTTTCAAAGGGTAGAAAAGGTTTTGGCGTGACTGTACATGCTTTAATTTCCTCTGCTTCTTTGAGACCCTGCTGAAATCGAGTGTGTGTTACTAAGCCCAGTACATGGCAGCAACTGCTCCTCTAAAGAAGTGCTCCTTTGCTTTGGCAGCTGTGCTTGGTGTTTGGAATTGGTACGAGGGGAATATGTGTGTGTGTCAGTGGGGAATAGTAGTTCTTCTGTGCCCTGAAGATATAAAAGCTGCTTCTGATACTTCTGTTGAATACACATTTTCACAAATGATCTCTCTAGACTTCCCAGATCACCCATTCTTGGGTTGTATGCTTAGGGATTTAAGAGTATTACTTACTGTGTCTGAAAGGAGATGTGGGGCTTTTTTATCTGCTCCAGCCAGACCCAATGAGCACTCTGGAGAATTTAACAAAACCAGCTTGTTTACCCCTTATATGGCTTGAAGTGGTTTGCTCAGCTCTCTAGGAAGCCCTATTCAACCTCATTTAAATGTAGTAAACAAAAAGGGTCTCAAAATTGGGATTCAACACTGTAACAGGATGCTGAGAGAGCTCCATTCTAAGCAGTGGAAGTGTATGGTTCCTAAGAAGCTGGTCTAGAAATAGGATTCCCTCTTTTGAGGGGTGATTGGTCAGGGAAGTAGCTAAGACCCAGACAGCTTAGCCCTGTGTGTCAAATCGAAATGTGCCTAAAGATGTGCCTTACATGCTGATGATCCTCACTGGCTGAGGAGGGGAGGAAGCCCAGCAGCACTGCTAACTCTGCTCAGAGCTCTCAGGGGGCAGCTCCCCGTGCTCTCTGTTCCTTTAGGGTGCATGTCCTGGTGCCACTGAGGTCCTTGATGCCCTTGTGGGCACTGGGATGTGACACTTCACTGTGTCCCACACTACTGAATGTGGCACAGACAGAAGCAGGAAAAGAAACCTTTGTTGAGTGGGAGTGTGGTTCTTGAAGTGGAGGTTTTGTAGATTTGGGTCAAAAATGGAGTGGCTCATCAGCATTGATGCAAGGTGTGTGGAAGGAGGCAGATGCCTAGTGTGTGCCCTGTTTTATGTCAGTGAATCTACATATTTATTAGCACTTGGGAGCTGCTAGGTATGTTCATCTCTGATATTTAGGGAGCACCTGATTTATGTCCTGGCTTTGCTATATTTGCCTCTGTTTTTATTGCATGAAACCCAGAGATAAAGAGAAATGAATCAGATGACTTTGCTATATTAAGCTATTTCAAGGAGGATAGTGACAGAGTGCTCGGAGCCAAATCCTCCCTCTGACTGTCTGTAGTGAGTCACTAATTGCAAACTGTGTACTGGCTAATAAAATATGTTGGCATAATAATGTTGTCCCACGTTGTAATTACAGAAGATAGATTCAAATATTTCAAAATGACAGCAAGTGCCTGTACTGATGTGAAGGGACAGGAACCTCAAATTATCTGAGATGCAAAAGAAGGAATTCTTCAAAGCTGCCTGAGGATCTGAAGATTAGATTATTATCTTTTAATATCTAAATTTATTGCTTAAGGAAGGTCAGTGGTGTGTTAAGTATAATTTGACTTATCCTGAAAGGTGTCCATGTGCTCCTACAGCACCTGGAAGCACAAGAGCAAGTGTCAGTCTTGGATCTTTGGTCATTCCCAACGTGCTGCCTGTGGACCAGTGCTATTACTATATTTGGCATAAACAGACAGCAGGGATGAAGAGTGGTTTCTATAAACAGAGCTCTCTCCAGCAGAGGCCCTGTTTCCCATAGACATTTGGATGAGTGCACAAAGCAGAGGTCAAAGTTTGGTCTCTTTGACTGAACATGTGTTTATGGTAATTTTTATTAACATTGGTTTCAAGGGAAGTGGTCCAAGTGCCTTGCCAAGTAACTCATAGTAGGATTTGCAGGATGGGGGGCAGGAGGGATTGCTCTGAGGGCTGCTGGTGCATGTGGCCTGTGCTGAGCCCCATGTAGGGCTGGGACCCTCGCTCCTGCTGCAGGGCTGCACAGCAGGCCAGGTGCTCTCCCGAGCTCCTGTGCCTTGCCCAGAACACCAGGCTGGGGCAGGCAGGGCAGGAACCTGGCTGGTGTCCCAAAACAGCTTGGTCAGACACTGTCTCTGCTAGGAACATGTGCTTCCTCATGTTTTTGTTTTGTTTCTGTAGGTGTGTGTAAAACCCCAGTGCACCTTAGGAAGGAGTTAATTATATCCCAAACACTGGTTTGTTTGGCTTTTTTTTCTGCAGTAAGGAGGAATGTCCCACATGGCCAGCTGATAATATACTTCAAGTGAAAGAGCTGAGGCTGTCCCTTTATTTCCCTTTACTTTAAAATATGGAAGTTCCCTTCTTTTCCAAAGTGCTAGCATGCCTGATAGACTTAAAAATCATCTTCACTTAGCTCTGTAAACAATTTCAGTACAACAGCAGGCTTAGGGCTTCCATTAGCCTGGAGGTCAAATGTGAAAGTTTAAGAGGAAAAAAAACCCCTCATTTAGCCAAAACATCAGTTTCAAATTTCAGATTGCTAGTACTGTATTTTTCAGAGCTCTCAATACTAGAAAAATGGAGGTTTGATACATTGCCAAGAATCACTGGGACTGCCTTAGGTGTGCACCCACTGCACCAGTACTCCAAACTCGGGACAGAAATAGTAATTTCTGTTTCCACTTTGGGCCCATTAGTTTGCTGATGTACCAGGAAGGAGGACCTGTGAGGAAACAAGTGAGCAGGCTTTGGGTCATGCCAGGTTTCAGACTCTGACAGATGTTGCTGGGCTCATGATGGCAAAGAATAGTGTGGTGATTTTGAAAGTAGATACTCAGCTACATCTGCCTAATAGGCTTAGGGCTGAGATTTGCTAATGAGATCAATAGGACCTTGCATGAACACAGTGAGCTGGATGTGCTGATGGACTCTGACTGCCTGCCAGCTGTGTCAAAAGTGTAAGTTTCTGCAAATCCATATTATAGACTTTGTCTTTGGGTGGTGAAACTTACACCTTGTGCATCACAGGAACCTACAACTCTGGGGAAAATGTATAAAAGCAGCATGGTCAGGCTTTGCTCCTGAATGTTTTGTACTGTTGCAGGTATTTTTTGTTCACTGTGCAGAATATGTGTTCATTTAGGCAAACTCTAAATGTAAGGAAGGGGCCTTCAGGATAGAGCCTTCTGATCTTGTGCTTGTGTAAGGCCCTCATGAAGACAGTGATTGCAAATATCCAGCACTCCCACTCCCATTCACTATAGGTGGAGCATAACTGCAGAACTTCTACCTTTATATATAAATGTATATGTACAGTTATGTATAAATGTGTGTGTATATATATATATAAAAATATATATATACACACACTAAGCCTGCTTGGTAAAAACTTAGATCAGAGTTAAATACAAGTTTCAGAATAGCAGGCAGAAAGGCAAGAAATCACTTTAGTGTCATCCCTGTGGTAAGTCACCCTTTCTGTACAACTCCGTTCTTCCTGTCAATGCGTTTCATTGCAGTTCACTGCTTGAATCTTCCTAGAAAGGACATGTTCAGGGGACTCTCTTTTTTCCTTTGTTTTCTTTTTTTTTTTTTTCCTCTGCTGTTAGACCAGTGCTGGCTGTGCTGCTTACAGATTAATGTTTTTGCTGAGAAATGGCACTGTGGATGCTTTTCAGGACTCACCAATGCGTCTGAACTCTTCTCTGTCCCCACACACAGATGACATGTCCTTTGACGTCTCCTGGTTTGCCGTGCGCTCCTTTGCCCTGGACAGGGAGCCCATCTTGCTGGCCTCCCTGGACAGGAGGGGCATCGTGTCCCAGGGCAGGAGGAACGGGAGCAGCGAGCTGAGCCTGGAGCGGATCAGCCCTTTGGAGTTCCGGCTGCGCGTGCACGGCTGCGAGGACCAGGACTTCGGGAACCACTACTGCCTGGTGACGCCCTGGGTGCGCTCTGCCACGGGCGTGTGGCAGCGCGAGCCCGACATCAGAGCCAAACCCATCTTCCTCTCTGTCAAAATGGATGGTGAGACGCTGAAGCGTTTTGGTTTTAATGCCTTTTTATGTCTTTTTGTGGCAAACATTCCCCATAACTGCTTTTAAAGGTGCCTCTGGTAATCTCATTAGATTTTGTGTTGCCTTCTGATGCAAGGCAAGGTGACCTGGTTCTGAGGAAACGGCATGGCGACCCAAACTCTCCAGGGTCGCTCGGGCCAAGAACACATGCTAGCACCAGTATGGTGGACGGTCCAAGGCCTTTATTGTCCCGTCTCATCGGGTTTTATACTCGGCAAGGTTTCTTCTCTACGTCAGGGGTTTCTTCTCTACTGTAATTGGTTAGTAAGGAGTAGAAAGTTACTAATGTTAGGGGGGGACTACATTCTTGGGTGATCCCTTATCACTAGGCGTTAGGGGGAGAGGAATCCTGCTGCTTTCCATGACATCGCGAGATTTTCTGAGCACCTAACCCTATCTACTACAATTTTGTCATCTTTTTTTTATGGTTAGCAATTTCTGATTCAAGATTCTTCAGAGTGGAAGAATCTGTTCTGCCTAAACAGTTGATAGATACAAGATTGGAGCGTTTTGTTTCCTGATCACCTCTTGGTGATGTTTTCCATAGCTGAGGCATCTTCCAGTCAAGGGCACAGCATTCTCTCCAAGTGTTAACCCTTTGCTGCCTGCTGGAGGAAGCCTTGGTTTGCAGATGGAGTGTGTGAATTAGTCACATCGTGGTTAGTGTCAAAGCGTGATGTGACTAATTCACACACCCCATCTGCAAAGCTGAGAAGTCAAAGCTGAGAAGAGAAAAATCAGAGCTCTGCCTCCTTCCTCCCTCTCTGATGACAAGACTTGTTGCTCCCTGCACTTTGTGCCTTGTCTGCTTTCCACCCGGAGTTGCAAGTGTTGCTAGACTTCATGAGCAGGAAGTTGCACACTAGATACTGCATTCAGAATTTAGCTAAGGAATAAAATGAATACAGGAGGGGTTTTGAACTAGTTGCTTTCTTGATATTTCCAGGAGAGGTCATTTTTGGAAGTTCCCTGAACTTGAAATGAACAAGAAGCTTTTGTTCTCCCCACTGTGCTGATAACTATTGTAACTGTACTTTCCAAACCCCTTTCAGTTCTTACTGCCTTTTAACTGAGCAGTAGGTACTTCAAAATCTTTTTTTTTTTTTTTTTTTTTTTTGTTTAGGCACCAGCTTTGATGGTTGATTAAATAGAGTAAATATATAGTAATTCTCATAATTCAAAGCACAAAGGAGTCCACTCCTTGCTTTTTGGAAATTACAAAGAATGCAGCCACACTCTGCCTCTGATGGGGAAACAATCCAATATTTTGTTTGGAGAAATGTGTGAGAGGATAATTTTTGAAATAAACTCTACTTTGCTGTCTCACTCCAGGGCTCTTCTGGTGCTTCCAGCCTCTTGAAGGCTTTGAAATTATAGAGGAAGAATTAGGGTGAAGAGGAAAGGGAGAGACTAAATGACCAATTTTTCAAACCTGGGAAGATGAAAATGAAGAAGGAAAATTAGTGTAATTTCTTTCTGAGAGAATTAATCTGCCCCTGACTGAATAACGTGGAACTTTCTCCTTTTTCAGGCAGGCAGAAATGAAGGGGATGTCTGAGTTTCTCGGCGATATCTAACGACTGTGCCTTCCTTTTCCAGTTCTGAACGCTTTCAAGTACCCGCTGTTGATCGGCATCGGCCTGGCCACGGCCATCGGACTCCTCTCCTGCCTCATTGGCTACTGCAGCTCCCGCTGGTGCTGCAAGAAGGAGGTGCAGGAGACGCGGCGCGAGCGGCGCCGGCTCATGTCGATGGAGATGGACTGAGCGCCCAGCTGGGCACGCTGCGTTTCAGGAGAGACTCACAGGGCTCCTGGACTGTGCTGAGACACGTGCTCACAGGCCCAGACAAGACAGTGCGTTTGCTCTCTGGTTTCAGCCTGGACCTCAGCTTCTCCTCGTTACACGCCATGTCCTGAGAACAATCAGGCCATATTTAGCAATTTGGGAGTTCTCCTTTTCCAGCAGCACTTTCTGCATAGGGATCATGTCCTTCTAATGTGCAAACTGTTGAGCCTTCTTTCAGCAGGGCCCTGTGACAAAATTCATTAATGTTTGTTTGTTCATTTGTTTTTCTCCCCCTCTTGGTTTTGGAAAGATGTCCCTATATGAAAGCAAGGTGGGCAGGATGATGAATGGGAAAGAGGCTGGTAAGTGTTAGACTTTCACTGTATTAACCAATCTACCTTCCCCCTCTGTCCCCATCACACCATCCTGTTCCCTTTCTCTTTCCACCTTGGTATCTTAGAGATTTTTCTGTGTTGGGTTGAAGGCTGGGGAAGGTTCCTGTGCTGGAGCCATCATGAGGCTGTTCCAGCAAAGAATTGTTTTATGGTTGTCAGTATGCCTTCTCTTCCCTGGCTTTCCAAGAGATTGCAGTTAATCCTGACACCTAACTTGCCTGGTGGAGGTCTGAAGCACTTTTTTAAAACCTTTTCTTTTCAGTGCTCAAATCTCTTAGCTGTGGTGAGTAGGGACTGACTTGGCAACCCTGAAGAGTCGATTCTCAAACATTTGATGGATGTCTGCCTATGGTCGCCTTCTCCCACACCCTTCCACCTTCTCTTCCCCCCACTACAGCTGCTCACATGGTGCCTGAGACCCTGTCCTGCTTGTGGCAGGGGGGCACGTGGTATCTAGGGACAAGGCTCAGCCTGCTGCTGGCCTCTGCAGGGAGGTTGGAGACCTTGCTTCCCCGGGTGATGGTGTGACCTATGAAAATAATAAGAGATGGATCTTCATCTGCAGTTGGCCAACTGATCATGTTTAGAGACTCATAAACTATGTATTACCAAATGCACAGACCAGACTTCAGTGCTGCTTCTGCCAGTCACTCACTGGTAACCTCAAACCTGTGAGCAGAACCTGAGATCTGCAGTAGCTGCAGTGCAGCTCAGGGTAGGAATAAGAGCAAGCCCAAGAGGGCAGCAAGAATCCTTCAGGCTCCCAGGGCCCTGGTCTTGAGCATGAGCCTTTCAGAGGGGCTTTTCCCCTGGGCTTGAGACCTATTCCTCGGTGCTATAGTGTGGAACTCCTGCTTTGGTCTTCCAAATACACTGACCTGGCTCCTGAGGGGGAGCAGCATCTTTGCCAGGCAGTTCTGTCTTCCCAGCACGGCTGGTGTTCTAAGCAATAAGGGTCAGAATAAAGATGCTGTGTACAAACCAACGAGGAAGTGGGACCTCACCGCAGTCTGATGTCACAGCCGTGGTTTGGCTTGCGTCAGGAAGGGTGAGAAATGCAGAGATGAGGCCAGGGCTCAATCCTTACCATGGCTTTTAAAAGATGGTAAAGAAGACCATCCATGGAAGGTAGTGGCTGTGGTGTGCTGTTGCTAATTAGACATGAGTTATGTCCTAAACAATCTGCTTCTCTAATAGCTCATCCCACTGCATATTCCAGGGGAGCTGCAGGTCTGGTATCTGGCCTATGAAGGTTTTTTGTGCTAAGATTTCTTATTGTGAATTGTTTTGTTCTGTCTTGCATTGTGACCTTTGTTCTGAGGCTGATGTGAAGGGGTTTTCCAGAAGGCTGCTCTGTGTCCTGTCTGTGAACATGCGTGCAGTCACATCTGTGTGCGTAGAGGTGCCCAGGGATTTTTGAAAGATGAGTATGAAACATCTTCAAAATGGGCTTAATTTGCAGAGTTGGAGCTTTCAATTTGTTATTTAAGACGTTTCATGTAGTATTCCAAAACTGGGACCCCCAGACCTATGAACCTCTGAAAGACTTTGTCCTGAAGGTACATAGCAAGTTTTCTTTCTGGCCTGATGTTTTTCTTTCTGGAAGAGCTCTGACAAGGCCTCTGTTGCAGGCAGACTTAGCTGCCTTTCCTAAAGAACGAGGCAGAAGCAGTCTCCAGCTTCCACTGTGAAAGCCCAGAAATCTGTAGCAATTCTTTCCAAAGGAAGGGAGTTCAGGAAAGAATTCATTTGGATACTACTTTGACAGCAAGAATTTTTCTTCCTCTCCTGTCTCTAGTGAAATCTTGATTTTTTTCCTGGGATGTTATGAAACACTCTTCTGATGTTTGGGATGCTGGCTGATCTAGCAACTTCTTTCCTGCATTAATATCTTTCTTATCAGAAGGCTTGTGGCATTGGGGCATCTTGGGAGGGGTGAAAGTGGTGGTGAAGTTCTAAGCACAGTATCAGTCACATTTTGTCCTGGCAGACTGACTCCTTGTCTATCTATGCCCTTGGTTAAGTTTTAGGAGGAGAGGATCGTGACCGTAATGCAATAATTAGGGAATGGATGAGCAGGGCAATAACTAGGGAATGGATGAGCCAGCTCTTCCCAAACACACAATATAGCACACTTCCTCCCTGCTGGAAAAAAACTCAGGGTTATTTTGGTCAGGGCTCCCTTCTTCTCTAGTGAAAGGTCCCCATGTCCTTATCCAATGCTGACCTTCCTCCACAGCCCACAACAAACCAACTTTGTCACTCCAAGTGAAGGAAGCTTTGCCACTAGCTTGTACTGCTGACAGCCCCTTGGAAGGCAATGCTGCATCCCATCCCACCCTGTATTTGCTGTAGTTGGAAGGCTAGAAGCTGATGGGCTAAACCTGGCCCCCAGGTTTCCTTCTACTTGTGCCAATTTTGTATTATCCCCTTTTTTAAAAATAGAGTGTGAATCTTCTCTCTAAGGGAAAAAAAATCTAGGTCACTTTTCATGTTTTTTATTATTATTATTATTACTGTTATTATTATTTTGTGTGTGACCAGGGTTTGTGTGAGTGGAGGTGTGTGTGTGCATCTGGTTGTGTATTAAACCTGCAGAGTATCAGAAGAGTAAGCTGCCTGTGGTGCAGTACAAGCATCCATATCCTCCCTGCTGCAACCTGTGGTATTGTCAAAGTATCCTAAGGGCTCACATTGATCTTCCTCTGTTTGCATTGCCACGTCTCCTGGTTAAGCTGGTAAATTCCTCCAGGCACTTGGAATTTCGATCCAGGGCAACCTTGAACATCATACAGCAGAAGGGCAAGATATTTTCTTTCTTTTGTTTTAATTTCAAAATTATAAAGTAAAGTTTTGGGCACAATTCTGGAATGCAGGTACTGAATAGTTCTAACAATGCCGTGTAAAATGTTCCTTTTTATGTTTAAAATAAAGATTATGTCCTTTTTGATTATGTCTGTGCTGTGGGTCTGGATGTCTGAGTTAGGGGCAGTTCTTTCCTTGTTCCCTGCATGTGTGCAGACACTGTTGTTGAAGGTATGAAATGTAAACCTCACAGTCCTGTTTCCAGCACTGTAAAATAAGCATGAACCCTATTTTTACATTAAGTTTTAAATATTTGCCTACATTTCTGGGATGAATTGGGAAGCATAATTATTTTCTGAGTCTATTGTGTTTCTACCCCAGTACAAGTCACCCTTTTTGTTGGGAGAGTTTTATTTTGATTAGCTAAGGACTGGAGTCACAGTTGGGAGTGTATATTTAATATCTGCTGTAAAACCTGGTGTTAGATGTTGAGTCTTCCTTGACCCCTTCACGAGGCTCCTCATTTCCAGAATACCAGGAGGAAAATCAATAGTGTTGGAAGAAAACTTCATGCTTTCTTTGCCAATGGCTGAGTTTAGGATGTTTTTTTACCCCCAGCAACCATGCAAGGACACTGAAATCCTACAGCAAGGAAGTGACTTGCTGTCATGGTTTGATCCCAGCTGGCAGCCAAGCCCCACACGGCCACTCGCTCACTCCCCCACTAGTGGGATGGAGAATTGGAAGGGTAAAAGTGATAAAAATGCATGTGTTGAGCTAAAGACAGTTTAATAGGGAAAGAAAAAAGCCATAGATGGAAACAAAGGAATTCATTCCCTGCTGCCCATGGTGCTCAGCCATCCCCAGGAGAGAAGGGCTCTGTCACTAGTAGTGGTGACTCAGGAAGGCAAACACGTTTCAGTGTGAATGTTCCCCCTTCCTCCTCCTCCCACCACTTTTACATGCCCAGCATGGCACTGTCTGCTCTGGGGTATCCCTGGGGTCACCTGTCCTGGCTGTGTCCCTTCCCACCCTCTTGTGCTCCCACTCACTGCTGGGGTGGGGGGAGAAGCAGAAAAGGCCTTGGCTCTGTGCAGGCTCTGCCCTGCACTAAGGAAGACATCCCTGCGTTATCAGCACTGCTCCCAGCATGAATCCAAAACACTGGCCCATGCTAGCTACTGTGAAGAAAATGAACTTTATTCCAGCCAAAACCAGCACATTTCCTTTCCAGCAGGAAGTTGTTTGAGGCAGCAGTGGTTTTGGGAGGCCAAGGCAGGCTTTGGCAAGGTGAGTTTGTGTTCAGAGTGGTGTGTACTGTGTCTGACAGGCTGCAGTGCGGGCCAGGTGACAGCAAAGTGTGTTCCTTTGGCTTCTTTCTAGGTGGAAAGGTGTGCTCTGCAGAGTGTGCTTGCAGGAGGCTGGGAGGTGGCACCAAGCTCTAAATCCTTAAGGAGCAGCAGGAGCCATCAGCCGATGTCCAGGAATGTCACAAATGGTCCCTCAGCAGAGCCTCTGACACAGGGACAGCAGGAAGGAGTGGTGGAGGAGTCCTTGGCCTCGAGCTCTGCAGGTTACAGCTCACAGGTAAGTTTGAATTAGTTTTTATGAAATTCACTTGCCTTCCCCACCCCCGGGATGACCTGGGTCTAATACCATTCTTGTAAACGTGCTTGGATTTTGTCATAAGAAGGAAAGCTGGAAAATGTAAGTCTGGAAATGCAAGGGAGTACTGGCAAGTAAGTGCCTTGGTGTTGCAGTGAGTGATGGGAGCTGTCAGGTCTCTAGCACTGCCTTGTACCTGCCATGGGCTCAGCTCTCCCAGCTGCTGATGGAGGTATGGCCTCCTGCCACAGGGGCAGTCTGAAAAGCACTTTTGTGCCGGAGCCTGAGAGTTTAGTTGCTTTCATAACAGCAGGCTCAGGCAACATGCTTGGCTGTCCTTTTTCTCTGACAGACCCTATTGGTGCTGCTGTGGCTCTGGCTGACTGCCCTGCTCGGGTCAGGGCCGGTCCAAAGCCCCTCTCTGGGCTGGAGCTGGCTGGTGTCAAGCAGGATGCATGAGGAGACCTGCCTCCTCTTTGTCATGTGAAGCTGAAGCCCTGCCATGCAAATCTTCCAAGGAAATGTGTGGCTTTAGCCTTTCCTGTGGGACTTGCCACACTTCTGTGGCTGCAGGGGGCTGAGGCCTGCACAGCAGGTATCAGGACAAATGGTGTTTCAGGAGAGAGTCTTGAGTGACGGATTGAAGCTGTGGGATGTGCTAACTGAAGGGAAAGCCACTTCTCATCCTTGTGCCAAATACACCTCAAATGCCACGTGTAGCTTTCAGTCAGACAGCCTTGTGCCAGGGGTCCCCTTCTGCTACTGAGGAAAATGGCATTGTGCTGTAGCCAGCAGATGACTGATCCTGGCTGGCGGAGGAAACCAGGCCCTGTGGATTTCCAGGTCCCTCAGGAGAGCTGCCATAGACACAAGCTGTTCTCCTCTCCCTGGCAGCAGAGCTGCATTCCATCAAGTGCCAGAAGCATAAGAGCTTCCACCTCTGCCAAGGGGGTAGAGAGGCAGGACTTTGCAATGCAGGCTTTGGGAAAGCAAGCTAGCTTTATATTATATTTATATTTATAATTTATAACATATTTATATTTATATTTATATTTATATTTATATTTATATTTGTTCATCTGGGATTTTATAACCTCCAGCGTGTGCTGGGCCTTAGAGCAGAGCACAAACTTAGTCTGAGCACACCTCTGTTGTTGTCAGAGACAAATGAGCACCAAGTTCTGTTTCTTCTTAGCAACTTAACCTGGCTTGTGCCCTCTAGTTCCTTCCTTCTGTGATCCTGGCAATAGTTTGACATACTTAATGGATGGTAAGGAGTGCCAAAGACACTAAGTTCCTAAAAGTTTCCTGAAGGGTCAAGCTAGGAGAGAAGGGAGGATGTGCTTCCGGAGCTCCTGCAGCAGAGCTGGCAATGTGAACATACCTGGGCATCTGAGAATCCAGAGATGTCTGAGAGGACAGGACTGGTGTTGCCTTTGTAGCTCTTGTTGCCTCTGTGCTGACTTCAGCTCTACAAAGGCCCTGGCATAATGTGCAGTTGCTGGGGTGTAGGACTGTGGTAAAAAGAGAAAATATCCATGCTGCTTAGCATCTGCCTGGATGTATGAAATCTGTGTGTGGTTACAGCCAAATGCACACTCTGAATGCAAGTGCAGTAGTTGTAACCTCTCCTTTGGTGTTCAGGTACATCCTTTTAGTGTCCTGAAACTTGTTTGCTGATTTAATCTGTGTTTTCTTTCCTCTGCCTTATCTCTTCTGTTTTTCATGCTTCATTTCAGGAGCCTTTTCTTGCCCTTGTCTCTCTGCATCTCAAGGACAATGGCCTTTTGTGCTTCTCTCTCTGGAGGAGAGCAGGGGTACATTGTCA